CTCGTGTCAGCTCTCAATCTTTTCTACATTTTTCCTTTTCCAAATCCATTTTAATGGCAGCATCCGTGTTTTCTCTCATCGATCTTGGGTCTTTAGGATGAAGTTTTAGGGAAGCGTCCTTCCTATCAAGACTGCTGATAATTCACATTTCTTACTTCTTCCTCTGTAGATTAATCCTTTGAGAGCTGATTCTTCGCAGCAATAGTTATCTGTCTTTCTGCCTTTCCCTTAAACCGACTTAAGCACACCATGGGCCAGAAGCTGTTAGCTGGATTTCATTTATATACTTAATTAACCAGCTTCTCTGCAGGACAGAACTCCATTTACATTTTTAGTCTTTGACTTCTCGGGGGCAGTGACTGAATAAGAGAAACTTGGCATCCAGTGGTTAAAGGGTACAAAAGTTTTTTTAAGGAGTCAGCCAATTATATACCCAGAGAGATTTGAATTTCTTTCTTTCTTAGTGACTGTGTCCCAGACTTTAGGTGATGGTGATGATGATGACAGTAGCCAGCATTTATTTGGGGACTTCCTGTAAGGCTTGTCAAGTTGTCACCCCACTGATTTTACGTGCGTGACTCCCCGTGTGCACGCCTGTACAGCAGCTGCACAGGGAGAGCACGTCATTGCTGTTTGAGGGGTGACAACATTGAACAGGAGGAGGACACGTGTTTGTGTGATGTCCCACCCGGAGGGCTGTGGTCTCTTCCCTTCACCCCTTCTCAGCCACTTTCAAGGAGCTCAGTGTGCTGTGGCTCATTTAAAAAAAAAATTTTTTTTAATGTTTATTTATTTTTGAGAGAGAGACAGAGTTCGAGCAGGGGAGGGGCAGAGAGAGAGGCAGACACAGAATCTGGGGCAGGCTCCAGGCTCCGAGCTGTCAGCACAGAGCCCGACGTGGGGCATGAACTCAAGCGTGGCAAGATCATGACTGAGCCACCCAGGCGCCCCTGGCAGTTTTATTTTTAAGATTAACAATACTCACCTTCAATTACTATATCCAAAGTTTTGTAATTGGCCATGTTTTTATCATGAGCATTCTTTTGTGCCATCCATCAGTTAAGTAAATGTTTTTAATTGAAATTTAGCTAATAGATTTAATCCATGATATTAATCAGTAGTTGTTACAAACTGGGTGAGTGTTTAGGCATCTTTATACTTTCAACTAATGTATTCTAACTGCATAGACACTGACTATAAAAAAGACTTGAACACTGGTTGAAACCGTTTTTAAGTGTGAAGGTATTATAACATGAGATGTATGGATGTGTATTTTTCTTGTCTGGCTATTGTCCGTTCTGGTATCAGAGAAGTACTTGGTCTCATGACATGAGTTGGGACCTGTTACCTCCTATTTTCTGAAAAGTTTGTTCAGAATTGGTATTATTTCTTTCTCAAGTGTTTGGTAAGTTCACCAACGAGGCCATTCAATCCTAGATACAGGAAGGTTTTTAACTATGAATTCTCTACTATGAATTGGGCTGTTCAGGTTATTACTGGCTTCTTGAGTGACCTTTTTATCTTTCAAAGAATCTTTCTATTTCATCTAAGTTATTAAATGCATTGGCACAAAGTTGCTCGTAATAGTAGTTGTTAAGACTTTTAATGACTTTAAGGATCTGTGATGATGTCCTCTGATTACTGGAACTGGTAAATTTGGATCTTCCCTCTTTTTACTTGATTAGTTTGGCTAACAATCGGCCAATTACATTGAAGTTTTTTAAGATGCAGCTTTTGGTTTAAGGGATTATCTATCTGTATTCTCTTTTATGCTGTTTCATTGATTGCCTCTCTCTCTCTCTCTCTTTTTTTTTCTTTTTTTTTGCTTTAACTTGACTTTGCCCTTTCCGTCACTTTCTTGGGGTAAAAGCTTTAATCATTGGTCTTCATTCTTCCAGTTTTTTAGAGGACTGACTTGAGACCATCTTCTTCTGTAAGACAAACATTTAGTGCCATAAGTTTTTTTCTAAACACTGTTTTAGCCACATCTGCAGAATTTTAACATGCTATCTTTTTGTTCTCTACAAAATATTGTCTAATTTCCCTTTTTGACTTCATCTTTGACTCATGTCTTACATAGAAATGTGTTATTTAATATCCGTTTTTTTATTTTCCATATACCTTTCAGTTATCAATGCCTATTTTAATTCTTTCATGGTCAGAGAACATATTTTGTTTGATTTCAATCATTTTAAAATGTTTTAGAATTTTTTATAGCTCATGGATTCATGTTCTATCTTGTTGAGTGTTGCACATGTCCTTGAAAATAATTTGTATTCTGCTGTCTTGGGTGATGTGTTATGTAAATGTCAATTCAGTTAAGTTTGCTTGATAATGTTTTTGAAGTCTGCTGTATCCTTACTTTCTATTTGTTCCATCAGTTACTGACAGAGGAATTTGAAACTTGAGTTTGTTTCTTCATTCAGTTCTATTAGTTTTTGCCTTATGTGTTTTGAAGCTCTGTTATTTGATGCATATACATTTGGAATTATGTCTTGTTGATGAATTGACCTACTTGTCATTATGACATGTCCCTAGTTATCTCTGAGAACCGTCATTCACTGTTCTAAAGTGCACTTGTTTGCTATTAATGTAGCTACCCAATCTTTTGATTAGTAGTTACATAATACATGGTTTTTAATCCATTTTTTTAACCTGTCTGAATATAATTAACGTAAGTTTTCTGCAGATAGTATGTAACTGCATATCACTTTTGTTTTTGTGTTATTTTTTTCCGTTCTAACTTGGGCATATGTATAATGTGTATACACCTTCTATAAGGTCTTGATCTGCTAATTCCTTCATCTCAGCCATTTCTCTGTCCATTTCTATTCATTGCTTTTTGTTTCTGGCCATACACTGTGTTTGTGTGCTTTTGTATGGGCATGGTGACTTTTTTTGGGGGGGGGGGAGGGGGAGAACACAAGCAGGGGAGGGGCAGAGAGAGGGGGACATAGGATCTGAAGTGGGCTCTGCACTGACAGGCTGATGTGGGTCTCGAACTCATGAACTGCAAGATCATGACCTGAGCTGCAGTCTGACGCTCAACTGACTGAGCCACCCAGGCGTTCCAAGGCATGGTACCATCTCGATTGGATGTCAGACATTATGAATGTCACATCCAGTGGAGTGCTGGATTTTGCTTTCTTTTTCAAAAAGTTTTAACATTGTCCTCGCACAGAGTTAAGACCCACACCTTCCTTTGAACATCTCAGAACTGTCTCTCTTAAGGGTCAGGCACTTGACATTATTTGTTGCTTTTGTGAACAGTTTTAGGTGTTTGAACAAAATAACCATGTCTATCTTTTCTGTTGCGACTAAGAAAGTAGAAACATGGCCTCATGCAGTTACCGAAATAGTAATGATTACACAATTTAAAAATATTATGTTAGGGGTGCTCGGGTGGCTCCTTGGGTTAAGTGTCCGGCTCTTGATTTCGGCTCAGGTCATGATCTCCTGGGTTGTGGGTTCAAGCTCCATGTCGGACTCTGCACTGACGACACGGAGCCTGCGTGGGACTCTCTCTCTCCCTGTCTCTCTGCTCCTCCCCTACTTGCGCGCTCCCTCAAAATAAACAAACATTAAGGTAAAATACAATGAAATAAAAATCATTGTGGGTGATTAGTGCTGTGTGTGGATTTAGACGTTACTGTCATAATCAAAATGGGTTTAAGGCGGAAAGGTACTGTTGTGGTTGACAGGTTTCTGATATGCGCCCTTTGTCCACTGGCTGTGTGCACGGCGATATGGCCCTACATGTTCCCTGTATGTGTGCACAGCGGTGTTACCGTGCGCGTTCCCTTCCCCATGTCTGTGTCCAGTGGTATCACCCTACGCGTCCCCTGTCCCGTGTCTGTGCGCAGTGACATCTCCCTCCGCGTCCCTTGCCCTGTGTCTGTGCGCAGTGGCATCTCCGTCCACGACCCCCGCCCCGTGTCTGTGTGCAGCGACATCTCCCTCCGCGACCCTTGCCACGTGTCTGTGCGCTGCGGAATCACCGTATGCGTCCCCCGTGTCTGTGCGCAGCGGCCTGTCCCTCCGCGACCCCTGCCACATGTTTGTGCCCTGCGGCATCGCCATATGCGTCCCCCGTGGCTGTGCGCAGCGGCATCTCCCTCCGTGTCCCCTGCCCAGTGTCTGTGCGCAGCGCAATCTCCCTCCGCGACCCCTGCCACGTATCTGTGCCCTCCAGCATCACTGTATGCGTCCCCCATGTCTGTGCGCAGCTGCGTCTCTCTCCGTGACCCCCTGCCACGTGTTTGTGCGCAGAGACATCTCCCTCCACAACCCATCACGTGTCTGTGCGCAGTTGCGTCTCCCTCCGCATCCCATGTCTGTGCGCGGTGGCATCTCCCTCCGCGACCCCGGTCCTCCTCGCAGTTAGCGTGGCGGATCGTGCTTTCACGTGCCGCGCTGTTGGTCTTGCTCAGCCGCGTTAAGCACAGTCTGGTGTCTGCGCCGCTCCTCACCGGCTGCTGCTGCAGCTTCCCACCGGCTCCCGCCTTTGCGCGGGACCTGTGCTCCAAGGCCCTTCCTGCTTTCCCCTCGCCAGCAGTGTGAGCAGAGATTGAATTGCTTTCAGTGGAATAGGGGCTTTTCGCAGAACACGCGAGCAGCGCAACCATTGCCTGTTCATCGCGAAAGGAAAGGAGAGGAAACGGAACCTGGGCCGCCAAGCAGGGACACCTCCCTGGGCTCACCCCGCCTGCTTTCCACGGTTCCACAAAAGCGGAAGCAGAGTTTGTTTCCGCTAAAGTTGCCTGTGTTACTCTGGGAAATGCTATCGGGAAGCCCTGAACCGTGCTTGAGTTTTGTGTTGAGTTTTGTGTGTGTGCTCAGGGCCTCTAAGCACCCGCCCCGTCCGGTCGGTGTCACGTGAGCTCCCTCCCGAGAAGAGGCGGCGGGGACTCGAGGTCGCGGAGCTAGCCCGGGGTCCGCAGGGCGCCTTCTGGCCCCGGTGTCCCCCCACCTCTCTCACGGCTTTCCGCCCTCCTCCCCAGGGGTGGAGAGACTGATTCGCCATCTGCGCCGGCACGGCGTGCCCCTGGCCGTGGCCACCAGCTCCAGCCGCGCATCGTTTGACATGAAGACCGGCAGACACCAGGCCTTCTTCGGCTTGTTTGACCACATCGTGTTGGGGGATGACCCCGAAGTGAGCAACGGGAAGCCACATCCCGACATATTTCTAGTCTGTGCCAAGAGGTTTTCCCCTGCTCCGCCCACCCACCAGGTAAGCCCCGCAGAGGGGAGAAACGGGGGTTGCCCAGGCGGGCTCTGGCCGCTACTCTGGCGCCTTGTGGTCACTGTCGGGCGGCCACGCGGGGACGCCCTTGTGCTCGGAGACAAGGGCGGGGGAGGGGCCGGGGCAGAGGGGCGCGGAAAGAGCACGGCAGGTTGTGGGGGAGCGTCTGCCCCCCGCGTCACCAGGCCAGTGGTCTGGGACTCGTGCACACTGTCTTTGAGCGCTTACGTTCGCCATAACGCTGCAAGACGGGCACCGTGCAGCCAAGGGGCCCTGTGACGATGTGGCCCGATGAGGTCTGTATTTGCAGCGAGCGGCCTTCAAGCCACATGCTGATTGCAAGGCAAATGTGAATCCTCAAAACTCACTGTTCTCCCCCACATGCTTCTCAAGGGATGTTTTGTTACTGCATAGTTTGTGCTCATAGTGACCTTTGGTTTTATCACAGAGTTTCCAGGCTTCTTTTTCTCTACGGGAAGGGGGCACTGGTGGAGTGTGGGCTCCAGTGCCCTGTCTCCACCCTGTGTGGACCGCTTTGGTACGCGGGGTCCACAGTGCAGATGGAGCAAAATGTTTGAAGATCAGAACCGACTTCAGAACCAGTGGGTCGTGTTTGTTCAGCTTTGCTTCACTTCTCCCTGCACTGTTACTGTTAGGATGGACAGCTTAGCCCCCGTGGGGGCTTACGCGGATTCCAGAGGAAGAGGGAGATGCTCTTGAGAGGGGGCGGGCTCAGGTCTGACTGTGCGCCCTTGCAGATTCCCGAATGACCAGGAGAGGGTCTGAGAGAGGGCGGGCTCAGGTCTGACTGTGCACCCTTGTAGATTCCAGAACCACAGGGAGAGGGTCTGAGAGGAGGAGGGCTCAGGGCTGACTGTGCGCCCTTGCAGATTCTAGAACAACCGGGAGAGGGTCTGGGAGGAGGGCAGGCTCAGGGCTGACTGTGCGCCCTTGCAGATTCCAGAACAACCGGGAGAGGGTCTGGGAGGGGGCGGGCTCAGGGCTGACTGCGCCCTTGCAGATTCCAGAATAACAGGGAAAAAAAGGGCTCAGGGCTGACTGTGCACCCTTGCAGATTCCAGAATGACAGGGAGAGGGGGTGGCCTCAGAGCTGACTGTACGCCCTCTCCAGTGGCGCCTGTCTCAGCACCTCAGACTGGTCCTCAACTCAGAAGCTCTAAGAACCCCATGTTTTAGGGTACTTGCTATGGGTTTCATGCCTTAGGTATCATTGGTTAAATCATTGGCCATTGGTGATTAAATCCTTGCCCCTGGCGGTTGGGGCCAGGTCTAAAAGCTCCCTTTCCTCCAACTGCACCTTGGTCTTTCTGGAAGCCTGCCCTCATCCCAGGCACATCTAAGGACCCAGGTAGTCACTTGATCAGCAGAAACCCCGGTATGGTTGAAATGGGCTTATTACAAAAACAAAAGATGCCCCAGATGCTCAAGAAATTCCAAACGTTTGGGGAGCTCTGTGCCAGCACCCAGGGATGGAGACCAAACATAGGTTTTTTGTAACATCACAGACATAAAGGATCACTGAGCAATTTGGGTACCGTATTCGCAAGGATACACGGATCTGGGCTGATTTCAGTCTCATCCGTGAAGCTAACTCAACAGCAGTTGTATGACAAGGGACGAACCCACGAGCGCCCCGCCCCTGAGCCCCATTCCAGGGCCGCGGGACAGGTTCGGGGTGGACCTTTTGCATGTGCTTCTTGTATCTGGGCGTCCAGGTACCTTCTTCCCAGGAGAGCTGTCCTTTTTCCACCAGGCATGGTGTCCGTTGAAACACGGTACCTGTGTGTTTTCACGTGTGTGCGGACCCAGTTATAAGAAGACACTCGCTGGCCCTCACATACCCCTTTGCTTGAGGCCACTTGCGGAGGGAACACCCAGCTGCGACTGAACACTCAGCCCCACAGCTCCCGTGTTGTCCGTGCATCCCCGGGTCCTTCCCGTCGACAATATTGATTTTAAATTTGTCAAAGGAAAATGAACACTTGCCTGTCTTTACAGTAGTTTATTTCATAAAGTGTTCTAGGCATCACCCTGGTTACTAATCCACACTTGTTTATGCACGGCTCTGTCTTGCGGAAACAAAACCTTTCTGGTCCTGTTTCTTAGGCAAATATATATAGTCAAGGCTTTCCGGGTGTTTCGTCAGGTGTTGTGTATATGGTAAATCTAAAGCAAGATTTGATCAGTCTCCTGGTTGAGGAGACTCTGTACTTGGCTTTTTCTTCTCGTGCAGGAAGCACTTGCAAAGAGGGTTATTGAAATATGAGAAGGTTCTTAGAACGCATCCGGCTCCTTTCTCTTTGATGCAGTGTGGGTGCAGAAGTCTAGTGAGCCTGCCAAGTTCAGGGGCATTTCATATGACTGTTAAGTCCCCAGAGAGATTCACGGTTGCAGTCGGGAACGTTTTATGCTGTGGGTGTCATCAAATTAATTAGCTACAGTGGTAGGGATAGAAAGGAGTGAAAAACAAGCAGCGTAAAAGGAGGAAATTAGGTTAAAGCGTTAGTTACCGTTTTACCAGGAGAATATGCCTAGCAGAGCTGACGTTACACAAGTTCTCAAACGATTATTTCTGAGTTATGTATGAGTTATTCTTTTGTGCTAAAAATTAGCCAAGGTGGTGCCTTCCCCAAAAAGTCCCTGTGTCCCATCCTCAACACTCTAATGAGTACTCATCGGGTGCGTGCTGGGTACTCTCAGAGACCCTGTGATGTGAGGTCATCTGCCCCGGCGTCCACAGCGCTCGGCCATCTGGAGGCTCCACACCACCAGGCGGGTTGAGGGACAAGCTGGGAGTCGCCCCCAGGCCCTCTGCGTGTGGGAGCTCTCCATTCGACTTTCTAGCCCTAGCCGCTAAGATGCACGTCTGCGGGGCAAAATAAAAACGACAGCATCATTTACACGTCACTTCTGGGCTTGACATTTATTTCACGTGAATCCTAAGATCAATTCCAAGAAGCAGACCAGTCAGTACTTTGCACATTTTAGTTGTCTTGTTTATGTTAAAAGCTGAATTTCAGGGGGTTTTTTTTTTGTAATTCTTTTTAAAAATTTTTAAAAATGTTTTATTTTATTTTGGAGAGAGAGATACAGAGCATGAGCAGTGCAAGGGCAGGGAGAGAGAGGGAGACACAGAATCCGATGCACACTGCAGGCTGCAGGCTCTGAGCTGTCAGCACAGAGCCTGACACGGGGCCCGAACCCACAGACCGCAAGATCGTGACCTGAGCCGGAGTTGGGTGCTTCACCAACTGAGCCAGCCAGGTGCCCCTTTTTTATTCCTTTTTAATTTTGTTTTGTTTTCGAGAAGGTTCTGCACATTAAGCGTTCATACACCTAAACGGTAAGAATCTCTCTCTCTCTCTCTCTCTCATTTTACTGTATGTGGTCTTCATCCCCAAAGTCTTCAGAGAGGCGTGGGCTGTCAGGATGTTGCTGCGTGAAAAACTTACTTACCTCCCGAAACGATGGGAAGCAAGCGTATGCTTTTGGCATCAAATTTAAAATTGATTTGGTGGCCAGTTGAGCTCTGCCACGCGCTCTGTCTTTTGGGTGATAGGATGTTCCTTAGTCAGTCTCCACTCCCAGCCCCTCTGGGAGAGGCATAGCCGTGCTGGAGCCCCTTCTGGGGGTGAGAAGAGTCTCTGTGCCACCGTCGGCCACCTCCGGGGGCCTTCGGGACCTGCCCGCCTCCAACATCCCTGGCCCGGCCTCAAGACCACTGCCTCCTCCTGTCACCCACAACCACTCAGCACACATACAATGGTGTCAGTATCATTTAATGCCTCCTGCAACATGGTTTACCAGGCCCTCCCTTATTTCATTCAAAAAAAAAAAAAAAAAAAAGTCAACTATCTCGAATATTCACAGCTACTATCCTTTTATTTCTTCTGTTGCACTGAACCTATGTGTGCTTGGTGCCCCTACTGAGTTTCCACAGAGGAGCTTGCTTGCTTTTCCAAATTCCACTGTCGGGGAGGAAACACATTTCCTATACTCCCTTAGGTTCTGTGCGGGGTGCCTGTAAATTAAACTGACAAGAGACATTAGTAAGAGACAAGACAGATTTTTATTCACATATGGAGGCAGCAGTTCAGAGAAAAATGTGATTCAAGGAGGCAGCTAAAATCTAGGGCTTATATACCATCTTAATAGGGGTTCGAGGGAGACAGAGGGACACTTTCAGGAGGACAAATGAGTCTCGGGAAAAATAAATGAGCCCTTGGAACGGGGAGAAGATGTGGTAACTTTGTGGCAATGTCATAATGTTTAGGCGCTTTCTTATCCAGGTGCTGACCTGTGCTCACTTCTCTTCAGCAGCAAGAGTCAACTTTCCCTGGTTGTAAAACTCCCAGGGGGGCCATGGATGAGGGTCGAATTCTTTAGGGAGCCTGTGCTTTTAGAAAGATAAGGAGAATTCAGAAAAAGCATCTTCCCGCCGCCGTTGACACTCACTTGTCCTCGGTTCCACGTAACTGTAGTCACCGCTCCATGTTCTGCACTTTCCTGACCCTCACAGGGTCCCTGTTTTCCTTTTCCAGCCGCCTCGTTGTCATTCACTTCCTTCCTCCCTCCGCTGAATGCTCAGCATCTCGCTGGCCGCACTCCCTGCCCTCTGCTTGCTGAGCTCCTGTGGTCTCCTCACTTGGGAATAGTCCTGTGTCTGGACTTCTTCCCGGACCTCATCCTGTCTTCATCCCGGGCCACCACCCCATGGCCTTCTGACACCACCACATCAGGCACTGTGATCCCACGTAGCCACATTTTTGCCTTCTCTGTCTCACCTTCAGGTCTGCCTACCCTCCAGCCCACCAGCACGTCTCCTTATGGGACCTACTGTTTCCCTCCCACGTCTTCCCAGCCCCTTTCCACCCACGTGGCCCCACTGTCCTGCAGATAGAGTCCAGACATCCCATCCGTGACGTCCTCAATGCTAAGAACCTCACACATGCCCTGCTCCTCTTTCT